TAATTAATTTGCATTACTTACAGTACATTAATAAGAATAGACATACACAGTAAAAAGAGATAAAAGAATGCATACACAAAAAAAACATATATAAATATACATCTAATTTGTTACCACAGATATTTATTGTTAGTTCTCGTAAAATATACGATGTATTTTAAGATAATTTTCAATTCACTAAAAAAACTTGTTTTTCTTAAAACATTAAAATATTATTATATAATAACTTACTTACATATTTACTTACTTAAAAGCAAAATTATAAATTTCTTTCATAATATTAATCAATAATAGTGCTTAATACTTTTTAAGAGTTTTATCATCAGACAAAATAAGAAATTTGTAAAGCGATACTGTTATATGGTACAAGTTAAAATTGCAACTATGTAATACTAGAGGGAGACTTTGTACAAAAGTCGATTGCTTGGGTACCTCTGTCCCATTCGTGTTTCTACCGTGAAGCAGCTGTGTTTGCATGGCTGTGTTTCGGTTTGAAGGGTGGTATATGGCGTGAATTTACAGGGTACAGAGGAATAACATCTGAGTCCTCAGAAATGGCAACGCATGGGGGGTATCATGGGCGAATCAGTATATTCTTTTATGTCCATAGGTTACCACTTTCCATCAGGTGGGCCGTCAGCTTGTTTGCCATTCTAAGTTGTATAAAAAAAATATAGATTGAAATATACACATAAAGGTATAAAAGGTGCTCTTATCGCTAGGGAAATTTCTTACAGACAGCCTTTGGTTAAAGGAGAACAGATAGAAATTGGCAGGTGGCGCAACAGTGAATTAATAATTTTTCGTGCATAAAATACAATATATACATAAAATATACTTATTAATCGTACATTGATATAGTAAATTACATAATAAAATATATAGTGATAATAAAATTAGATTCTGTAAAATATAAATTAAAATGTCATATTAAAAACTCCATAAAACGAGCAATTACATAAAATTGTGCTTTCAATTAAAATACACTCTTCGCTTCGTATTTACAACTGAAAAACTCTTGCAACATATAAAAGCTCTTATCAATTTGAAATTGTTTTAATTTTGTGATGAAAATTTATTTATATATGTATATATATGCTTATATCGAGCGATCACTATATATATATATATATATATATATATATATATATATATATACACACCAAATTTCATAGTGATTGTTGAAGCCGTTGATGCTGATTTTTTAAATGATTTCCACACATGTTTAAACAGGTAGCTCAATTCATCACAGTTTATGTGTACTTCTGCTTCAAGTTGCATTATATACCGGTAGTTTACGTCATGGTTAAAATTTCTAAGCTAATATTCAATAAATTACGGAGTAAGACATCGAATTGATGATTTGGATGGAGTAAAGTGCTCGCCCTGCTGTCTTAGCATGATTTAGTGCTAATAATTTACCATAAAATTCCAATAAAGTGGTGTTAAATTTACATTTACTAGTACAAGGCAGGTAGACTCACACACGTTACTGGGTGACTGGCTGTTCACCGCGACTTTGTTTGTACAAATTGATTTTTCAGGGAATTTCGACTTAATCATATAGTATCAAATTTATTTTTCAGGAAATTTTGGCTCAATTATATAATACCAGATACATAAAAATTGTATTCCCATATCTACCTACTGCTACCAGTGTGTCCTGTCAAGTCGACCTCCACGTGGTACCACCTGGAAACTACCGTGCTGAATTTCAGGTATATTCAACATGATGGGCTAACTGATCAGTCTTTTCATTCTCACCTATCATCCCTCACTGGTACCTCGCCAGCGTTATATATACATATATGATACCGTTAGTGTAGGCGGAGTTACCATTCCATTATCATCCATTAAAATAATACCTATTTATTATTACCAGAGGGAGACTTTGTACGAAAGTCGACTGCGTGGGTACCTCTGTCCCATTCGTGTTTCAACTGCAGTTGTGTTTGCATGGCTGTGTTTCGGTTTGAAGGGTGGGATATGGCGTGAATTTACTGGGTACAGAGGAATAACACCTGAGTCCTCAGGAATGGCAACGCATGGGGGGTATCATGGGCGAAACAGTATACTCTGTTATGTCCATGGTACTGCTCATGTCTATAGGCGACGGTTACCACTTTCCATCAGGTGGGCCGTCAGCTTGTTTGCCATTCTAAGTTGTATAAAAAAAAAAAAAAAATATTGTAAGAAATAATCAGTGTTTAAAGTATTTTAGTATGTCCTTGCAATTGTTACGTAGTATGTAATTTGAAATTATTTCAATTTGGCTATGACATGGTTGGATGCCTTGTTGTTGAAGTCATGTTCATAAAAATGTATAGATAGGCGGTGGCGTGGTGGGTCAGGATATTGAGTTCCCTAAAATATAGTTGAGCGCAATGAGGGGGGAATGGATTGTTAGTAATGGAGTTTGACAGCCTCATTGCTAGCAATATGCCCTATCAGGTCAACCTCCACGTGGTTCCCCCTGGAAACCACCGTGAACAAATCTTGTTGAATTCGTCACGATGGGCTAACTGACCTGCTTCATCCTCACCTATCATCCATCACTGGTGCCCTGCCGGTGTATACCGATAGCGCGGGTGGGATTACTATTTCATTATCACCTATAAAAAAAAAGTTGAGCGCAATGATGGCTGGCTTATCCGTCATACTCGTGAACGGATGCCGTTTGCAAGGACTGGTCTGCTTTAGTCACTGTAACTGACTTATTTTATTCATTTGTTTTAATATTATACACTATATTTTTTATATATTATGATCAGATTTTATGACTGCTTAGTAAATTGTATTCACACAAATTAATTGTTTTTTAAATTTTACTAAAATTCACATCTCCCCTCTTAAGGAGAGGAGATGGCAACTAACTCCCGGCAGAAGCACAGTCGGCCGGGGTTCAGGGCCCCAGGGAGAGAAACCGGCGTACAATGCGGGCAGAATCTTAATTATTTTTATTATTAAACTTTTTAAAAAAACATCAGCTGACTTTTTTTGTTCGTTCTTCTTGGCTGAAATTACATTTCGAATAGGCAGTAAAATAATGAAAAAAATGACTATTGAACAATGCTTGAAAGACGTCTGTTGGACAAGAGCATTATGCCCCAAACTTTTATGTAATCTTCGTTGGATAGGATAGTAGATAGGTAAGTATTCTTTAGTCTGGCTACTGTATAAAAAATATTTGAATAATCTTCGAGTCTTTCATAGCATTGTTATCTGGAGAAGAATTATAGAAAATAACTATTTATTTATTACACTTTAATACAACTAATTAATTAATTATTAGTTTATTAATTATTAATTGCTCGGGTACCTCTGTTACATTCGTGTTTCAACCGTGAAGCAGTTGTGTTTGCATTTCTGTGTTTCGGTTTGAAGGGTGGGATATGGCGTGAATTTACTGGGTACAGAGGAATAACATCTGAGTCCTCAGGAATGGCAACGCATGGGGGAGGGGCGGGGTATCATGAGCGAAACAGTATACTCTGTTATGTCCATGGTACTGCTCATGTGTATAGGCGACAGTTACAACTTTCCATCAGGTGGACCGTCGGCTTGTTTGCCATTCTAAGTTCTGCTTCACGGTTGAAACACGAATGGGACAGAGGTACCCGAGCAATCGACTTTTGTACAAAGTCTCCCTCTGGTGAGTGGTGTTACCATTCTATACTCTATAAGAACAAGTATAAGGAATAAAAATTCCAAATATTTAACAACATTAAACCTAGAACTAAGTTCTTGACAAAATTAAACATCAATTAATTGAATTTGTCTCAAAAGAGCTACAAAGTTATAACTTAACATAAGGCTGTTAAAATTGTTGTAATGGCATTTTCTGATATCGAAGAAAAAGAACACGGGCTTACGTTTAATTAGATGTCTAAAGGTCCTTGTAATGAACTTTTACGTAAGCCCTTTTAACAATTTTTAACAAAGCGATACTTTGTATAAAGTCTTGTATAGACAGTTCTGTCTCAGTGTCATGAAAATGTTTCAAATATATAGTATTATGTTTCGTAAGATGCGAGAATTAACGCGATTATTTAGGTAAACTATGATAATACCACTTTTATTATATTGTCAATATCCATATTATGATTATATCGTCACAGTCGTAGAATACTGACGGATCTTTATATGTAATATTCGTCAGATCCGTCAGTATTCTACGACTATGACGATATATTGCCATAGAGACTATATACGAGTACGATCGGCTTCACCACCAACCACCGTTGCTGGGGGGGGGGGGGGAGGGATTTTTAGTAATGGGGATTAGTAGCTCCATTGCTAGCAATATACTCTGTCAGGTCGACCTCCTCGTGGTTCTCCCTGGAAACCATCGAGCTTGATTTATTGTTAGATACGTCACGATGAACTAACTGACCTGTTTCATCCTCACCTATCGTCGCTCACTGGTGCCCCGCCAGTGTATACCGATAGCGCGGGTGGGGTTACCATTTCATTATTATCCATTTAAAAAAAAACACCGTTGCTGATCGCACATGCGCAGCGATAAACAGCGTGCTGGTCGCGTAGTGCTGCTCCTGATACAGCTATGAACTGCGCTCATGATTAAGGGCTCCTATTGAGCTAAAAATTAATTGAGCATTCCCAAATTTAAAACGTGAGTAAAGTCGACATACATATTTACAATACAGTATGACCTTAGATTATATAGATAGAGTGTCTCCATACAAATGTTTCGAGAAAAGCGGATCAACTTTTTCATACAATTTTGCGTGATTTTTAATGTGCAAAAACTAATTTTATTTATTAAATAATTAAATATAGATACGTCAAGGTATATTATGTGCATAAGTATATAGAACATTAATAAAAAAACCAAGTCAGCTAATTTAACAATTAGCTGACAAAAAGTTGACCCGTTTTTGATGCTCGATGCTCTATCTATACAATCTAAGTGTATAGACTTACAATAGTTATTAGTCAATTATTATACATTGCTATTGAAAAAAGAGTTATATATTTACCTGAAAATAAAGCAAGATTTTGCATAGCGCTTTCCCTAAAAACCACGTCTCTGTCACATCCCACAGCACTGTAGGCGGCAGACAGAACAGTATCACCATGAAATCGGCCACTGCCAAATTAACAATGAAATAGTTCGTCACGGTTCGCATAGTGTGATTCCTATACACAGCTACGCACACCAATGCATTTCCAACCAATCCCATCACAAATACGGCAGTGTGCGTGCCTATAAGTATCCACTCGTATGTTTGTGGGTATATGTATTCGTTTAACATTTCTATGTAGTCTTCTCTTGTCATATTGCAGAACTCTGCATCACCCACACATTCTTCTGTACCGCTTTTCTTTAATGTGTCGTTATTATTAAACGCATCAAATGCATTGTCAGCTCTATTCATTATATTTTCTACATTATCCATACTGCTATTTAGCTCTACGGTTTCTAATCTATTAATATTTTCATATTTATTTTCTAATGCAACGTTTAAAGCATTTGTTTGTGTTAAAATTAAAGTTATGACTATTACAAATTTTTCGTTTCTGCACATGTTGACGAACGAGTCACACTTGGCTTCTGTTATTCATAACATGTTTTATCTGAAACAAAAGAAAAATAAATCATTTATACATCGAATTTGTACTGTTACTATTCATAGTTTCGAATATAATTTTCGAGTATGCATTCGATTGTTTGGATGGAAGAGTTTTATATGTAGTTTTCGCTTATAAGGTTACCGTTTTCCTTTCTTTGTAATAGCACATTGATTCGATAGCCACCTGATGGTAAGTGATTTTTTTTTAATTTATTTAATAAGATTCACCTAATACTTTTTACATTTTACATACTATTTAATCAATAACATTAAAATAAATTTGCCTAATGTAAAAGTCTTATTCAAGGAGAACTCCACATGTTTTACTATTATCAATTACAAATATTCCAACAATAAACAATTTAAGAACTTATGTTTTTTTATACCACTAAGGTGGCAAACAAGCATACGGTCCACCTGATGGCAATTGATTACTGTAGTCTATGAACGCCCGCAATACTAGGGGTATTACGCGCGCGTTGCCGACCCTGACAAAACCTCTTTACTCCTTTTTTAAAGAAGCCCATGCTGTAGTCTCTCGGGAAAATCTCGTCAGGGAGCTCATTCTATAATCTGAGTGTTCGTGGGTTCGTGAAAACATCTAATCGTCTAAAGTTTTTCTTAACAAGTTATGCTGCTGATAATGGGTAAAAATTGATGACAAGTGATTATGGAATCAATTTGTGTGTGCCGTAAGTTTAATGCAAGATTGCATCTTTTTTTACTATTAACGGGTCCTGCAATTGGTTACGATCTCACCTGATGGAAAGCAATGATATGGTTTAACCTATACCTATATGGGCCACACTTGAGGACCGGTAGACAGCAGAGGTCGCCAGTTCGGGGGCCGACCACATACTCATTTGTTGCAGTATCCGGCCGTTCATTTGCCTTCCTAATGCTCCTCAAATATTGCGCCTAAATTGCGCCCACCGAGTACCCTCTTGTATAGGCGTTCCGTCACCCGTATCCAATGGCGAGGACGGGATGTCTTAAATGCTGTACCGCAAACTATATACCAGTTTAGGGAGGAAAGGGATTGTTAGTAATGGTGACTGAGAATCCCATTGCTAGCAATATACCCAACCAGGTCGACCTCCACGCGGTTCTCCCTGGAAACTATCATGGTTAATTCCTGATGAATTCACCATGATAGGCTAACTGGCATGTTTTCATTCTCATCTATCACCCTTTACTGGCGCTCCGCCAGTGTATTCCGTTAGCGCAGGCGGGGTTACCATACCATTTACACCCATCAAAAAAAAAAACTATATACCAGTTTATATAAACTCTTTTTTATGACTTCTTGAAGAAATTCAATCTATACTTGGCAGGAAACAGATCCTGGAAGGAAATTCTGTAGTTTGATGGTTCGACAAATGTATGAATAGCCAAATTTTTTGGTCCTAATATGAATCTCATACATAATGAATGGACTCAGTCTTTGTACGGGTAGCTCTGTGCTGAAATGGAGAGGGAGGAATAATTTCGAATAATTCAGAACATTTCCCATGAAACTAGCGATAAAAAATGCCAAGGGAGGCAATATTACGACGCAGTGTGAGCAGTGTGTTGTGAAGGTACGAGATGCTTAGAGAAAATTTGATTTTAATGTATATAGCTAGCTGGTGGTCCAAAGACAGGACATAACCTAGATTAATATTTAATATATAACATATTATATATTTATCAATATTATTAGTTATTTATGATTTGTTTTATATATGTCTCTCATAGCACCGCAGTTACATAGAGTATAGGTATATACATACACCACATACATCACACACAGGTACAGAAACACACATACACACACACACACACACACACACACACACACACACACACACGCGCGCGCGCGCGCGCACGCACGCACGCACGCACGTACACACACAAACACACATATTACACTTACTTGGTTACGACTTATAAGTATAGCAGACGCTAGCACAGTAGCGTATGTGTCAACCAATGTCGAGAAAAAAGGATAGAAAATAATATTAAAAATAAATTTATAAGTTAGAAAATGGTAGATACAACAAGATGACAGTAGTAAATAAATTCACATTATATTCTGCTGTTTCCAGTGTTTTTTCAGTAGCGTCCCTCTTAAAACATCAGTAAAGCTTAACTGCGGTTGCCAACCCGCCTGCCAAGCGTGGCAACTACTGACAAAACCCTCCAATAGGGGGAGACCTATATTATGCATAGCAGTGAACAGTAACGGCTGATACCATCATCATTATTATACATATATTCATGTATTTAAATCTATATACATATATTAAAACAGGATGCTGATTGAATGCTGACCCATACATATATCAACGTATAGCCAAAACCGCTGAATCAAAAACATGAAATTTTACAGATGGGTTCTTTATTTATATAAAGAGCTTATCTGTAGAATTTCACGCAGGTGAATAATAAGAAAGGAATACTGAAAATTCAATACTTAAAAACAAATATAAAATCCACACGTAAAGAGTCGCGGGTCTAAATATCTCTTAGTTATATATAAATTTGAAATATATAGAAAAAATAATAGATAGATAGATACTTTTTATTGTTTCTTACAAAAGATTACAATAGTAAACTTATTATAAATATAAACAATTACAAGAAATAATCACAATGAGAAAACAATGGGCGACCTTATCGCTAAGAGCGATCTCTTCCAGGCAACCTTTGGAAGGAAAGGAGTAATTACAAACAATTTGGTGGGAGGCACGATAATATTATACCGCATTACAATATTTACTTTGTACATTCTGAACATAATAAATAAGGTATATATTTAAATAAATTAATTTTCCTTCTAGATAGCAATGAAGAAAATGATAATGAATAATTACATATATCTATGTGTAAGCCGCTGTGTAGTTTTGGCATAGAATGGTTCACCCATTTCTTTATTGTGGGTGTAGTAAGAGGAGATTAAAGGAACTTAATGGTCGAGGGATAGGCAGCAGCGGCTCTCTTAAAACATCATCAGAGCCTAACTGCGGTTGCCAATCCGCCTGCTAAACGTGGCAACTACTGGCAAAGCTTTCCAATAGGAGGAAATTTATGTTGAGCAGTGGACAGTTACTGGTTGACATGATGATGTGTAAGTCAATGGATTTCCTTACTTGACATAAATAAAATACAGAAACTTAAAATAAATACAGAAAATAAAAAAAAAAAAATAAAAATAGGTTTAGGTGACATGTTTAAAATTAGATCTGATTTGGTGCAAATTTTTAGAACAATGGTATCTTGATTATCACATTCAGTGCTCACCACTCGAATCCGAGTGAGACGGGGCCATAGTGGCGCATGGCGGTGCCTCCCACTCGGATCCGAAAAATGTTTTTTTTATCTTTTTATTAAAATAATAATAATAACCATATACATTAATTCATATTTTTAAATATTCGTATATACTTAATTAAAATTCGCCTTAAAAAATTTGGTTCCCAGCTATTATTTTCTATTAATTTCTATGGCAGTGAATGTGTTATGTAAATATTTTCAGCTATTTCATTAGATAGATAGATAGATAGATAGATAGATAGACAATTTATTTGCATTACTTACAGCACACAAATTACAATAAAAAAAAAAAAACATACACGTAATACACAGCAAAAGAGACAAAAGAATAAAAATAAAATAAAGCACAAATAAAAAAAACAAAAATACATAAACAAATAAGTAATATTACTGAAATAATAGCAGTGGATAGATAGATAGATATATAATTCAATGCATTATTTACAGCACACAAATAACAACAGACATAGATAGAGATACACAAAAAAAAAAACAAAGAAATACATATACGAAAAAAAAAGGAAAAAAATATAAAAGAAGTAATATTATTTTTATTTTCGTGCGTGTACCACAGTAACACAAAATGGTCACAATTCAGTTTATTGTTTTGCCCTCAAAAGAGCAAAACACTGATTTTCTGTAATAGATGGGATGACGAAAGGAAGAAATGTTTGCGAAAAACATATTGCTCTGATCACAAAAACTATATTTTATTCCCCGCAGGTTTCTTTCCCCGAGGCCATTATCTCCCGTTGCGTAAATATCTAGCAAAAAACATCACAAAAGTGATATTTCTTTTGTTACCTAGGTTATATTGACTGGAAATTTGCAGATATATATATATATATATATATATATATATATATATATATATATATATATATATATATATATATATATATATATATATATTTTTTTTATTTAAATAAAAAACTAGGAAATTAAAATCTGGCAAGTTGGAAACTCTTTACATTTATGTTTTACGGGGAATCCCACGAATGTATTGTACGTCATTTTTATTTTATTTTTATTGTTCGTATTTATCAGTGTTGTGATTCTTAACAACATAAAAATAAAAAATGGTAAAAATGGTCACTTCGCTATTGCGTAACGTTTATGGCGAGGGGGTTACACGGGGAGAAGGAGAAGTGACAATCTTCAAAAACTGCGTTACGCAATATTTAAACGGCCCCTAATCTGAAAACATATCAAATAAAAAAGAATTTTTCGAGTTAATTCATAAATGACGGAGTTATGAGGTCTTGTTACCTCAGTAAAAAATACAACCGAATCGAGGGCCTTCTCCTTCTTCGAAGTCAGTTTTGAGGTCGATCTGATATATTGCGAGCAATGGGGACATTAATCTTCATTAGTAATAAGCCCTCTGTCCTTTTTCGCACAGGTAGATTTACCATTCTATTTCATTCTCATAAAAAAATATTGTAGTGATGTGGCGCTAAATTATGTAATTTAATTTACTTATCATTTAATGAAAACCTTTATCATTTGAAAAAGGTAAACTAACAGACAGCCCACTAGATTCTAATAGAAAATATTTTCGACTATTATTTGTCGCTACATTAAAACTTTTATCGCATCACGTCTTGTTTGTAAATTGTAAGTGAATTTATAATAATATAGTAAAGTGACGAGTCGACCTTATTTGTTAATCGAATATTTTGATAATCG